GAAACATGCCCTCAGATAGCCTCTCTTCACCAACTCAAATGCACACTGTCCCTCTGCAACCCAGATCTATTTTCTGGTCAAGAAAAGAAAATGCTGTATGTCTGAACACTCAAGTGTTAGTCTGTCTAAAGTCAAAGTTCTGGTTTGAAAAGAACTTGAAGTCCCTCCCCAAGATGTAGCTGCATGACGACACAAGCCTGCTCCACTGCCGTCCTCCCCATCTCCCCTTCATTAACCTTTGCTTTTCTGGCATAATTCCTCTGAGTTACATTTTATATTTAAGGTTGGTCTAGTATCATTCCAGGACATGTCAAACTTTACATACTTGGTTGACATTCTAAATGTCAAATCTCTCTCTTCTCTGCTTCTTTCATGTGTCCTGTTTCAGGTTCTCCTCATCCTTAATCACTGCAATAATTAATTAATTAATGTTTAATTATTTATAATGCTTAATTAATTATAATTAATGTGAAAAAAATAATTAATTACTGCAATAAACCCCCTCACTGATCTCTCTGCCTCCAATCCCTCTGTTTTACAACAAAATGTCACTACTGAAAGATCTGTAAAACACAGGTCTGACCAAGTTTATGCCTGTCCTGGAGCAGCTGCTCCCCTCCACAGACAGGTTACATTCTGCACCTTGGTCTCTCATTTCTCAGCACATCACAACTTGAACCCTACCTGCTCTTTCTCCTGCTGCTGCTACCTTCCCACGAGTCATGTAAAACCAAACCAAAACAAAAAGCCAAAACCAACTTCCAGAACCTTCATGCCACAATCCTTCTTGTCTCTGGTTGACACAAGCCCTTGCTTCTACCTGGAATTCTCTTTCCCACTTTTTCTAATAAATGTCTATTCATCATTTAAGACTAAATGCAATAGTCACCATCTCCCTGAAGCTGCCTGTCCTGGCCTCCCCAGTGGCCAGATGTACTCTACGCTGCTTTTCAATACTACTTTTATAAGCCTATTTTGTCACATCAAACACAGCATTGTAATTCTTGCCTTTATACTTCACTGTACAGGAATTTCTTTTAAGGGCAGAAGCTATGGTAATTATCCTATTCCCAGGCAAAGCATAGGCCTGATGCACAGCAGGTTCTTAATTATTTGTTGAATAAATGAGAATTATTGTGGCATCCAAAACACTGGTGTTAGAAGCATATGAGTAAGAGCCCTAGAATTCCTCCCATAAAGAGAACTATTGGGGAATGTACATTCTTGGGGAATGTAGAGGATTTCCTAAACACTGAAAGTGTAAAACACACTGAATTCAATAATAACCTTTATTCTCGTCAGTGTTAAATACTGCTACATCTGATCTTTCTTGTATATTGTGAACAGTAAGCTCAGTGAGGACAGGGTGCTGAAACAGACTGTTCAGCCCAATGGATAGATGCTCCAATGTAATTTTCACATAAACAGACCTGCCTGGAAAATGCTTTTGCTGTAGCTCACTTTCCATTCTTTTGTCTTTCTTCTCTGAATGGTAGTTATTTTTGTGCATAGCCTCTCAACTAGCTCATAGGCTCTTTTAGGTGAGGAAGGTTTAAACATGTTTTTTTCCCAAAAGAGTACCTTACACACAGTAGGTAGTCAATAAATGCCTGATGAATGACTTAGAAAACATTAATTCAGCAAACACTGAGAGTTTAAAAATGATGACTTTTGAAGGTATGTTTTACATCCTAAATGAAAGGCTTTGCTTTGTAAAACTTAAGCTCTTCATCTCAAGCATTCATTGGTAAGAATAGCTGAGAGCAAGAACCAAGGGGCTGACGACAGCTATCTAGGAGTGCGACACACCTAGGTCAAAAAACCACGCCATGCATTTGAAGTTGCAATCCTCTCCACCTGTGAAGCCAGTGCTATAAATTGCTTTACCTGGTTCTGTTAGGTGGGCACTATTTGTCTCTTTTGAATGAGCTCCCCAACAAATGGCTTCTACCTGAGACACTGAGAACGGTGCTCAATAAGGGGGATTGGGATTGAATTCTTTGAACAAAATTTCTGGTTAATGTGAGAAATGAACTCTAAGATCGTAGTTTCAGTAGCTGAGTCAACTGCTGATGGCCCAGTCTGTCGCTGTCCGATGAAGTTTTCACATTATGTTTTAGATGGAACAGGACATAGAGCAATCACAAACACAATGGGATATGAATAGGTCAAAACTGAGAAAGAGTGGGTGCATACAGAAACACTGGAAAGGGCTAAAATAATTGGTCCCCAGAAAAGAGATCACCAAGTATTTATACCTGTTCTGGGGAATTCTCACATTAATTTACAGTGTGAAGAATTTCTGATGAGCCGTGAGAGATGGAACACTTTAAAGGAATCAGAAAATTAGAAATTAAAAAAGCTGGGACCAAAGGTGCTTCAAAAGTGTTTAGTTAGCTCATGTCTGCATTTGCTCAGTGTGGGCATTCTAGACAGAGGGTACCAAGGAGGCCTCCATCTCTGTTCTCTGGAAGTAAATAGGTATCTCTAAGTGGTACAGAAAGAGGAGAACAAAGAAGGAGCTATGTATGGTTTGGCTTCAATGTGGTCTCTTGTTTCTCTAAGGTAACTAGTTTCACTGGAATATTTTGGTCCTTTTATTTTTGGTGGGGGAGGGGGTTATACATTTGGGAGGAGGGAGGTTGATACTCAAGTAAAGAGGTATTGAAGGCTTAAGATGTAAACCTATCAAAATGTTTGGTCATGAAAAGTTAATTGAAATGGTTTTTGGACACGATGCTTTATCTAGGTAGATAAAGGTCCTAGATATTTTCTGGAGTAAGAAGCCAGAGGAAATGAAGAGATAAGAGGAGGATGGGATACTTTGTGGGCCTGGGACCCTACTACCTGGGGAGTGGTGGGAGTTCCAGCACAGAGAAAGCATTCACATTTGCAAGAGAGCGCTCTTTTGTCTAGGAGTCCTGACAAGGCCTCCCCCAGGAGTTTCCAGCCAGGACTGAAGAGTAGAAACCCTGGGGAGCCCTTAAAAAACCTAGCCAACTCTGGGGTGCTCCTCCACAGATTCTGATTTAATTAGTGTGGGCTAGCAACAGTATTTTAAAAAGCTGCCCACGTAATTAAGTATAGGAAGAGTTGAGGACTAACCACTAGGCTAAAGAGATATGAGGGTGGAGAAGAGGTAATAGAATAAATCACCTTTCACATTTTTCCCTCAAAATTAGGCAGTGTTTCTAAAAGGCAGTGTTTCCGTGACCATAGGTGGTTCTTGAGATTTGATAGCACATGGATGAACCTTCTCTGAATATATACATATACAGTGCCCCATATACATATGTGTATCTTTATTTATCCTTACCTATATATACATATGTAAATACATATCTATGAATTTGAATATTAGAAAAAATATAATCACCATATCAAACTTGAGAATTCACGTATAATCATTGTTTAGGATGAGGAGAACATAGGTACTGAAGTTTAGAAAGGGAATCTATTTAAGTGAACATTCCGTAAATTCCAGTACAGTGGAAGGTGGATAGAACAAAAACTTCTAAAAGAAGAATTCAAACAACTGGAGTTTGGGGAACTTGGAAGTAAGGTAGTCCAGAACCTAAAATATCTTCATCTCCAGACCTTGTTGTCTAAATGTGTCCCCCAACCTGCCCCCAACAGTGCCACTGGCCCAAGCCTACCCTCTCCCCACTCTCATATGGACACCTGAGCCTCATTCAAAGAATTCAGATGCTTCTGAACTGGGCTCAGACTCAAACCAGACTCTTCTAAGCCTCGCACTCATGATCTGATTACTGATGTTGTAGTCTAGAACTCACTTGTCTCCTTTCTCAGATTCAAATCCGAGCTAAACTTAATTTAGGGTGTCTTAGCCACTTTAGCATAATGGGGCAGAAAATCAATGCTCACTACGCGTTCTGGTTCCACAGGCACAAAAGTGAAACCGAAGCGACCCAAATCCAGGTTATGCAAATTCAAAGGAGGGGGTGAGGGGAGAGAGATGAAAACCCCAAACCCAGCAAACAAAACCAGCCTGTAGGAAACGCACTGACTCGCTACCAGGTCGCTCGGTATTTGCCATTCTCAGAGCATGGTGCAACGTCAGATTGCCCAATTTATATTTGCACATTTCCCCCTGGCCCACAAGAAGCTTCAAAAGCTTCCAACTCCGCAAAATTCTTTTAAAAAAGCTCAAGTTTCTAGCCCAAGAAGGTTGCAGGTCAGGCCAGGTGACTTCACCTTCAGCTAGGTCCAACAAAGTGGGCTGAGAAAGTCTGGAGTTACATAGATAGAGAAGGGGAGACGGCGCAAAGGCAGGGGGCGAGGAACCTGACAGCCACGACTGTAACTTTCCCCCACCATTCTCACGCCCACTTATTTAGAAACTGCCAAGGGCACGATTCCTACTTGACATTTTCCCTGCCCTGACTCCTGAACGCTGCTCCTCTCCCCGGTCCACAGGGCACTAATAATGGCAAGGGGGGAAAATGCCCAGGTCGTCAGCGCCCCCTCCTCTCCCTGGTACCTCCCATTACCGCTTTCCACCTCTTGGCTGCCTCCTGGTCTCTCAGTCACCGGCTACACCTTTGCACCACCCAACAAAATGGCAGGTTAGCAACAGGCGAGGCCGAGAGCGCCTGCTTTGACTGTAGCCAAGCGCGGCCCCTGGCCAAGCCGCCAGGGTCTCCGACGGCGCCAGCAGCCCCCAAACCCTTCTCCTCTCAAAAGGCCCCCATCCTCGGCCCTGCCGGGCCGCCTGCTCGCTCTCCCGGGGCCATTTCTGTCGCCAGCGGGGGGAGCAGGTGCCCCGTAACAGGTGCCAGGGGCCGGTGCCGGACTGCTGCCCGGTCGCCCCGATTCGGGCTGCGCTGGGCGTCGAGAGGACGCCGGCAGGGGCGCAGGAAAAGGCCACGTCGGAGGCACGGGCGCTGGGGCGCGCGCAGAGGAGACAGCGGGGGGTAGGATGCTGCTGCGGGTCCTCGCCCCCCCTCCGGCGCGGCCCTCGCCGCATCGGCCCCACTTACGATCTCCAGGCAGACGAAGGCTCCCGAGTAGGTCCGCAGGATGTCTGGACCGGCGGGCAGAGTGATCCGGGGCGCAGGGAAGGACACGGCGGGGTTCGGCGGCGGCGGGACTACCGCTCCGCCGGCCGACATGCTGCCGCTGCTGCGTCTCGGCGCGCCGCGGCCGCCGCCCTCCGCCCGCCTCCGCCCGCCTCCGCCTCCCGGGCTCCAGTCGCCGCCGCCGCCTGGGGGTCCGCGGGGTCCGGGCGCGCCGCGCGGGAGTGGGCGTGGCCGCGCCGCCAGAAGCCCCGCCCAGTCACGTGTGCCCAGGTGAGCGCGCCTCCGCCCGGCGCCCGCGTCGGTCACGTGCCCAGGTGCGGGGGTGGAGGGGCCACCTGTCGCGGTCCTGGTGCTCGGCTCTCCCTGTCCCTTGCGCGGCCAGCTCTTGGAGCCTCTCAACGTCCGGCCGCACCGCCCTGCCCCGTCCGTTTCTTCTGTCCCTCTTAGTTTCCAACTATTCTCTTCCTCTTGTCCTGCCCCCAACTCTCACAGCTCCCCTACCCCACTTTGCTCAGTTTAACTGCAAAGTAGTTCTTGTAATTGTGACTCAGGCGATTAAATCAGGGTCACCAGTCACACCTAAAAAGGAGTGGATCTGCTTTAAATGGGACTCCATTGGGATTTTTAAAACACCACTAGTACAGCGTCGCGCGTTGGAGTCAGATGCCACAGTTCCAACACCTATTGGTGGTGGGTGCTGGGCAGGCATCTGCTTTGTGCGCTGGTGGTGTGCTCGCCTGTGAAATGGGGATGAGGCCATCTGCCGCGTACGGACGCCCGAATTATATTAACATGAAAAGAGCTTAACGCCTAGTAAGCGCTCCTTAAATGGTAGCTAGTATGATGACTTCTATTTTTCCACTGTTACACCCACATGTATCACGCTCTTGTGTACACATGATGTTGCATAGGTTACATATTCCACATAAAACTTTACTCATTTTACCTGCCAGAAATTTATGAATTGTCTTTTAAGCATTTAAAATAATTTATTGCTTATGAAAGGATTCTATGTATGACCTGGATTCCCTGCCCCAATTTATCCCTGTTTTATCTTTAGTTTTAATGTCAACATTTTCTAAGTGAAATAAAGGAGATTAATTTTCTCCGAAATCAGCTGAAAATAAACAAAGGTACACACACCAGTGTACACTTGTAGACCAGGTTGGAAAAAACAGTAGCTAACAACATCAAACATTTCCCAAATTGAATATTGATCTTGTCTGTCAGGTTTAGCCTTTGCAGGACTGGAAGCGTTTAGGTCTGTGCACTGATCAGCAGATTTTAGTCGTTCTTCCCCTATTATTTTAATAAGCGAAACTCATAGGTGTGGTGACAGCATCAGGGTAAACATCACAAAACAGGGTGTGGGTGAAACCTTTTGTATATACCTCGTATCTTCACCTTTTAGTCATCATTTTCTGATATTTAATGTGTGGTATTTATTTAATAGGAAATTTAAAGTTTCCTGCACTGTTTCATTAATATACTCTCTTTGTTCAGACCCTGACCGACAGGAATGATCTCCCTGTCTGTTTTATTTTATTTTCTGCTTAACACTTCTTAATAAGCACTTAACAGCACATTCAAAGGGAAAACTTAAAAGACTTCATCATGGAGTTGCTTAGCAACTATAGTGGGCCCCCCAAATTCTAGTGAATAAACTTAAAATGACTTTGGAGTTTCCAGAAGTGCTAATGATTCAGAGGAGCCTCAATTGTGCTTATCTTAAAAATTGCCATCAAGGGGAAAACTTTTCACTGTGTCCCTTCTGGTACCTTCTGCTCTACCATCCCCAACCATCCCTGCTTTCTCTTTTCTACCTCCTTCCACAATGACCAATGGAATGAAAAAAAAAAATTGTCATTGAGGCCTTTTCTATTATCATAACATATTTACTTGAAAATGAATTCCTTCCTACAATGTTTTTCTCCTTTCAAAACCACTACTCAAATCAGTTTTCTCTTGATAACATCAGTTTCTTTTAATGAAGGAATATAAGGAAGAAAAACACTCATCCCTGCCCTTTCTCTACCACCTTGTCTCTTCCTCCACACAACTGACATGAGCTCTTCAGAGGTTCATGTTTCTGCTTTTCTGCATCCTGTGTCCCTGGTTTACTGACCTCCAGCATGACTTATACTTTCCTTAGAGACTTCCTTTGGATTCCATTTTTTTGAAGGTCATCATTCATATTCATGACACTTTCAACAATCTTGCCTTGCAACCACTTGCTCCCTTCAGTGGGGTGAACTCACATTTGGACCCACCTTATTTCTTGAAATTTTGTTACTGCTATTCCCTTGAATGCCGACATTCTCTCTCACGGCTATCTCCAATTCAGTTGACGCTCCTTTGTTCTCAGTTCATTGGCCACCAGCCTTGCTTTCCCCTCTTTTTTCTCCTTGGCCCCATCCTGGCTTTCCAGGCATCCCTATCCATCCTGTGCTCATGGGAAGGCATTTTAAAGATGCTTGTGTTAGTCCCAGATATCACTTCCCATCTTGTACTTTACTATAAATTCACCCACACTGGCCCACATTCTGCAGCTTGGGTTCAACCCACCATCTACATCTGTTTTCTCTGATTCTACTCTCACGTTGCCCAGGGGTGCTGAAAGAATATCATAATTCCCATTTTTGTTTCCACTACTAAATTTTGTCTCCTAACGTCACCTGGCCCTTAGGGATTCCTGGTTGTCACTTTCTTCCCCAACCCATCCCCACTATTTCTCTCACTTATTATCCCATAGTGTCTTTCATTTTCCCCATTTTTATGCCTGGTACAAGTAGACAAAACATTCAATGAGTGAAAGTAAACCTAAACCATTCCAAACGTCTCTGCTCTCTCATACTTTACAAAGAGTTTTAGGATAACTAATCATTAAGACTTGTTTCATTGAAAACAGGCTCATCAATCCACTGATCCAAGACAAACTTCTGGGTGTTTCCCTTGGTACCTCCTCTCTTGCCATATATTTATTCAGTTATAGGGGCAGCAATTCTTCCATCTTATTCTCCAAAATATAGCTACATCTCTCCATTCCCACTGTTTTCACTCTGTCTCAGGATACTATCCCTTCTCACAATAAATACTCTAACAGACTTTTTCCCTTCCTTGTATTCTCTACACAGCTATCGGAATGATGTCCAAACACAAAAGTAATTGCAGTCACTTCTCTACTTAAAACTACTTAAAATTGACCTCAGGGTCAATTTCAAACACCCTGAATTCATTCAAGATATTTCTGTGGTGTAGCTTTTGATGAACTCTGACCTCATCAGTCCTATTAATCCACCTACAGTTCCAGTAACTCTCCAGCCTCCAGACTAGTACACATTGTCCTCTCTGTAATGGCACATACTTTGTGCTTACCACTCCTCTAACCCATATCTGTTTCCTGGATAATTCCTTTGGCCCATCAGGGCAATTCCTCCTGGAAGTGTTTCTATGGTCATGGAAGATTATGTTGGGCCCCTTTCCACACAATCTGTTTCCACAACCTGGTGTGCTTACTCCACACAGAACACTTCTTTCACTAAATTGAAATTATATTTTCACTTGTCTCATATCCTTCAGCTGGTGTTGTGTGGCAAGATATTAAACTGACAAGTTCTGTGGAGGTGTTAAGAGATGATACATATCAGATACCAATGTGAGCTGTGAAGCAGACCACCAGAAGTTCTAAGTTTTGGGGAGTCAAAAGTTATACACAGATTTTTGGCTATGCATGGGGTCAAGGTCCCTAACCCCTGCATTGTTCAAAGGTCAACTGCATACACTTTTAACATTATTTTTTTCTTTCTAAGACTTTAAGAGTAGTTTTAGGTCTACAACAAAATTGAGAGAGAGGTGTGGAGATTTCCCATGTATCCTCTGCCACCATACATGTGCAGCCTCCCAATTTGCAATATCACCTACCACATCTTCCAAAGGGTGACCTACATGGGCACATCATAGTCACCCAAAGTCCATAGTTTACATTACTGTTCACTTTTGGTGAACTATGCACTGTCTACAAAAAGCTTACTTTAAGTATAAAGACACAAGCATATTAAAAGGAGAAGACTGTAAGTAGGTATACCCTTATAACAGTAATAAAAAATAAGCCTGAAGGTCTATACTAATATTAGTGTAAATAGATTTCAATGCCAAAAAAATTATCAGGGACAAGGAAGCTAACTTCATAATGATAAAAGGGGCAGTTTATCAAGCAAACTAAAACTCCCAAATGTTTATGCACCATATAACAGAGTTTTAAAAGTAAGTGATGCAAAAATAATAGAATGCAAGAAGAAACAGAGAAATCCAGTTAAAACCAGAAGTCTCATCAATGTAGAAGATTTGAGTGACACTATCAAACAAGTCCCTGTCTTCAGTCTGTCCCCAGAGGCAGGCCCTGAGATACAGATTCACTCACAAGTGACTGCATAGAGAAATGTTCTTAGGGAGCCTGGAAAAGGAGTGAGTAAAGTAGGACAGGGAAAGAGTGGAAGCCAGGCAAGGGGTGTGGTCTCAGGCATAAGTCAGCCAGATGCTGCAGAGCAACTGGCATGTCAAGTTACATCTCGGTGTTGCACAATTCGGGGAAAGGCTTTCATACTTTTATACCTGACCATCACTGGGAAAGGCTAAAGAGGGAAGGGAGGAAGGCATAGATAACTCTGCCAGCGATTTGCTCAGGTGGGCACTGAACCTCCAGCAACTGAAAGGTATCTTCCAAAACTGGGCCACAAATGCTGTTGCTTGACCCACACCCAAGTGGGAAGAAGAGTGCACAGAAATGATAGGAAGGGATTTCATGGGACCTGGGGGAGCACTGACATATCTGCATCACTTCCTAATCTAGACCCTTAATTCTGATTTCCCTCTTAAACTCCAGATCTGTACTTCCAATTGTTGGAACGCACCTGTAACTTAGGCTCAAAATGTTCTATAAGAAACTTTATCTTTTCATAACACTTTCCCTTTCCCTCAGGTTTGTTCCTTCTGTTCATGTTATTACCATTTTCCCAGTTATCCACATATTAATTTCACTTTCTTAAAAGCTTTCTTTCTATTGTGCTTTATAATCCCACCTCTCTAATAGCTCATAACCTGTCACATTCATTCATTTCTACTACTGAGAACAATGCTTTAGTATCTCTCCTTTGAATTATATTAATAGTTTTTAATATCTGATTTTTTGTGTGTGTCT